TAGTTTTTATATAGTTTCTATATAATTACTTATATAAATTACCTAATAAAGATATGAGCAAGGCCTCACCTTAACACCAAAAAAAAAAATAAATAAATAAATATTTATATTTTTAACTTGTATTTTAACTACAAATTAACTATCTTAAAACTATTCTTTACAAGTATACTCATAAATACAAAATTTATATATATATAGAACTATTATAACTAGATTAGGAAGAGTTTGAATATTTATATTGAGATAAATATATATTTCAAGAATAGCAATATTTACAGATATTTTGTAAAGTTAAAAAAAGGAATGTTTTAAGAGATAGTGAAGAAAATATTTAAGTATTTGTAAAGATAAGAGTAGAAAAAGATTGTGTTTGATAAAAAATTTGTTAAAACAAGTCTTTTTAGAAAAAAAAGATGTATTGGGATTTGAGAAGAATAAGGAGTCTTCTAAAGAATTACTCACTATATGCCCAGCTCTTATAGCTTTACAGAAATTCAAAGCCTACTCTGTGTGTTGAGTTTGACTATTATAGCTTGATTTCTCTATGAACTTACTAATTATTTTAATAACTACAGTATATAAATAGCAAATATTATTAATACTATATATATATTAAAACTAGTAAGAGATTTATATATTACAATTAAATCAAATATAAATAATTAACTTGTTATTAATTATAAATAAAAAAGATTCACTTTGGATTAGGTACTATCTCTACTATTTAGCATATATAATTAAGTTAGTTTGTATAAAAATTAACTTGATTTTGTGTAATTAAGGTTAAGTAGCTTGTATTTAAATTATTGTAATTTCCAATACAAATAATCTTTTCACAAAACCTTCTATTCTAGTGACTATATAAATAGCTTAATTGCAACAAAATTATTGTCACAGCTAATGCTAAAAATGGCTAATGCTGAAATTTTTTCATATTTTATTATAAAATTATAAAAAATTTTTGGGCCTTTTTTTTACACTTTTTTTTATAATTAGATTAGGGTTAGTAGGGTAATTTTATTAATAAAAAAGTATACCATAGATTTTCAAAATAGCGGACATCTGCGCGCTAATTCGAATACGTGCGTGCTATTTTGAGTACGTGTATGGGCATTATTTTGAAACAAATATTAAAATTTTGAGTATAATATATAAAAAATAAAAAAGTGCACTGTAAGTAGCTTTGGCACTAAGTAAAGCTACTTTTAACTTCTAAGAAAAGTTGTTCTTCAGACTAAAACGATTCTAATAGTAGTAAAATCATCAAAAACAGTTTACTAAATCGCCTGCAATGGCTTTTCAAAGTTTTAGAATGCCTGTTTATCTTGTTTATACAATATGTATGCATATTGTAGTAAACAAAGATAAACAAACATTCTAGAACTTTGAAGAGCCATTGCGGGTGATTAGAATAGTCTCAGTCTGAAGAACAACTTTTCTGAGAACTTAAAAGTAAAGGTTTACTTAGTACCAAACCTACTTATCAGTGCACTTTTTAAAACTAACATTTTTAATAGTATGCAGAGCACACATGAGCATTATTTTGAAACATATATGTAATTTTTAGGAGGTGCAAAATTCGAATTAACGCCCCTGCTTGCTATTTCAAGAATCTACAGTATGTGGATTTTAGTAGGTATTATAGATTTAAATAGAGACCCCAAATTTCAGCATTAGTTGTTTTCAGTATCAGCTGTGACAATTATTGTTGCAAAAAGTTTTGTTACTAAATATACTTCTTTTTTATAAACTATACTGTGTTGTTAAGATTGTGTTAGTTTATATTGTAGTTATAAGCCATTTTAATAAATATTGTCATAGAACTTACTCTTTGATGCAGAATATATAGCAGTTAAGGTTGAGTTAGTCTTGTATTAAAATTAGTATAGTGTCTATTAGAAAACTTAGTCTTAATGATCCAAACAATAATTATAAATAATAAAATTTCTACTTTGGCATTATAAAAAAAAAAAGTGTATTACAAAATTCATGTTGTAAATTGTTAAGTTTTTGGTGAATTTAAAATTTTGTAAAGGTAAAATTTTAAATTTTTTTTTAATATTAAAAGAAAAAAGAATTTAACTAATTTTAACCACTCTTTATTTTTATGAAATTTTTTATATAAATAAATTATTCTTGAAAGATTAGAGTTGGAATACAGACTATTTTAAGTTAGAGTGTAAACTATTTATATGCAAAATTAGAAATCAAAAACTTTTTCTTAGTAGCCCAAAGCTATTTTTTGTAATGAATTTTTGTACTATTGAAAATTTTTTAAAAATTTCTTTATTTTGTTACCAAAATCCTGCACCCTGATTGGTAAATCATAGGGTGGTTAATATCACCAGGGCAAGTTAGTGACATTCAAGAAAAAATATTAATTTGTTTTACAAATTTGCATATTGATTGCTGTGGATTTTCTTGAAGTTAAATAATAGTAACCTCTTGATAGGTACTATTAAAGTCGCACTTATTGATGACCAGAATGATGATAATTTGCATCACTACCTGTTTTAGTAAATTGCTTATAAGGTTTTTGATAGTTGCTGAGTGGTTTAAATTTATTAGGATATTTTATATGAAAAAAATTAGCCGTTTTCATAAAGAATTTTCTTTAAACTAAATTTGAACAAGTTCAATATATTTATTAAGACATAATCGTACAAGATTGTAAAAAAAAAAAAAAAAAGTTAATCTCAATTTATACAATGATTATTAATCATAAACTTTAAAATGATAATCATAGTGATTGAAAAATAGTGTCCTGTTTAGGGATTTATCGAACACCCAGTATATAAAACACATCTTTTTAAATACTAACTATTATGGTTATAAATTTGACTCTATAATTGCACATTTTTTATAATCACTTTTTTTGTATCCCAAGGGTGTGATTATAGAACGACTTGACTGTATTTAGTAATCAAAAATATATATTTTCGAAGCACATTTCAGTATTTAGATCATCAACTCGTATGATACCAGTGTCTGAAATTGAATTGCGGAGTATGTGGACCGCAATAAAATTTATGATAATGTATGATGCTCATCTCTAATACAGATCATTTTCCCAGTTTGGTTGACCCGAAAAAAACTCCGTGAATAAAAATTAATTAAATCAGAATAACTTAATAATTTTTGCGTACAAAGTTATAATGTATGAATATTCAATCCGATCAACAAATTATGTTTAAAATTTACTCATAATAAATAATACCGTATTTTCGGAATAAAGTGCCAAAGAGGTCCATATTATTTAGTGGGAATGGTACTTTATATCCAAAATACGGTAATTGTAATAATATGCGAGTATAAATATTAGACAAAAAAAAAATAAGCAATTATTGCTTACATCATTTCTTTCCAATCTCCAAGTAAATTACCTTTGGACCTTAAGTAAACCCATTCTTTTGCAACAAAGCTTAGAACGTAAATTAATATGAATAATGAAATCCCTTTCGAGAATGATAATAGAATTATTACAAAATGGGACAAATTTTTAGGAATATTATATGGAATAGGGTACAATATTAATTATATTATAGGAGCAGGTTCGTTTTTTGGTTTTATTTTTTTTAAAAAAATTTTTTACCAAGAATGAAATTTACTATTATTTTAAATAGGAATTTTCAATTCTAATAGTATATGGAGAGTAGTTCAGTCGCCAGGAATTGCTTTGATGCTTTATGTTGGTTGCGGTATTATTAGCCTTTTAGGCAGTTTAATCTATATTGAGGTAAACTAGTAATAAAATGAAAATTAATAAAAATGACTATTATTGAATTACCAATTTAAATTGTTAATTATATACGGTAAATATGGGTATTATGACGAAGTTAAAATATTTCGATTGTATAATGAGATGCATCGATCGAAATCAAATAATTTTGGTGCCATCTGATTCGTCGCATCGAGCCGAATCGAATGATATCAAAATCATTCGTTTCTGATCACTACATTATGAAATATTTAGAGTTGAAATATTTTTTAAAAATAAGAAAATTTTAGCCTTGGGGATATTATGACGAATCGGGATTATCTCGTGATTCCAAGTTCAGAATCGGATGAAGTTTATACCATTTGATTCCTCTCATCGAAATTAAGCGAATGGTATAGATTTCTTCCGATTCTGATCGCGGGATCATTATATATCCTGATTCGTCATAATAACAGTATTCTGCATATTATGACGAAGAGGACATCATGACGAATCGGGATTATCTCGTGATTCCGTGATTAGAATCGGATGAAATCTATTCCATTCGCTTACTTTCAACGAGAGGTGTAAATTTCATATGATTCTGATCATGGGATCACGAGATAATCCGATTCGTCATAATACCATATTTGCCTTGATATCAGATCTTATTATTGACTGTTAATTTTATTTATTTACAGTTGGGAATTAAGGTCGTTTCCAAACGGAATAGGCGAACAAAGATACATTACCAATGTTTTTCCAAGTGAAGAAAGAAATTTTGGACATGTATTTAGTTTCGTTGCAATTTTGTGCGTGAATTTCTAAATACTCTAAAATATACTATCCATGTACGCACATGTGAATAATAATTTGATTCAATTGTATAATAGTATAATATTACCCGGAGAAATAGTAGCTGATTCTTATATTTCAGCCCAATACCTTCTCTACGCTATTCGAGGAGGAAGTTTTAACAATGATTATGATTTGATGTAAGCAAATTTTTTGAATTTATAACAATTAATTTAGAAATTTTGTCACGACTGACTAATAGAGCCAGGAACATTCATGAGAAATTAGTTCCAGTTATAACTTTGGATTTATCTAACATAATCGGGAAAAACACGATCGTTAATGATAGTAGGAAATAAACAAGCTGTTTTATATGATAAGAGAGCTTACACTTTTATTGACAGAACTACTGTAACTTATACATTTAGATCTTTATATGAAAATTTGTCTTTATACAGCCTAATGTATAACAAATCATAATAGTGACAAACAAAATCGGATAGTAAATTATGCCAAATTTCAGCAAAATCATCTGCCCGATTTTGATTGATAATATGTCTGAATTAGGGGTTCAACCCGATAATGTGTAGATATGTAATTTAATTATTAACAAAGAAATTTTTATTTGTAGCGCCACAGTTGTTTCGGTTGTAATCTTATTAGTTATCACAATATATCAAGTGTCCTCTAATAAAATATCTGACATCATAAATCTAACACTGGCTTCGATTAAGGTTCTTACCTTATTAATTATCTCCATAGTTGGATTAGCAAATTTATCGGGAAATTATTCTACTAATTGGAGTAATATTTTTAATACACGGTCTAATTATTTTGGAGCTTATGGAAACGGTCTAATTAATGTAAACTATATATGTATAATATCGATATACGAGTTTTTTAGTAATTGACCAAAAATTTTTAAAATTTAAACTTAGGTTTTATTCGCGTATGAAGGTATTTAATAAATATATCAAGCATAAAATTGACAAATTACTAATTATCCTCTATTTTATCATAAATATTCAAGGGTGGAATAATATAAGCTTAAATTAACTAATTTTATAAAAAAACTTTAATTATAAAAACTATATATTAATTTTTTAGTAAACTTTATAAATAATATAAAATTAAAAAATACAATATATAGTTTTATTATTAAATATTTATAAAATAAAAATTATTTTTATGTTTTAATTTTGTAAATTACTACATATTACTAGTGGTAATCATCACCAGTTCTAAGATTTGTTAGGGTTAGGGTTAGAAATCAGAGAATTGTTTTTTTCATATAATATAATATAGAGCAAATATAAGGTCTCGATTTTAGTTTTGTGAGATTTTTAAGAGTTCTAAATATTTTTATTTAGAGTACCCGATCCTATTTACTTAGTATATTTGTGAGATATAGCAACACTAGTGATGATCACCAATAGTAATAAATAGCAAATTCTTTAATTTTTTTTAAAAATAAATCAAAAGTATATTTACAATAAAAATTGCAAACAAATTTGTCTTAAATTGCTTACCGTTTAATAGATAAAAATATAATTTAATAAAAAAATAAAAAAATAAATTTAACTGATTAATAAATATATATATCAATAGTTAGATTCTTTAATTTATTAAAAATAGGCTTATATTTATTTAATTGTAACTCTAGAATATTCATAATCTAACAGTTTGACCCACTAAGACTTCTCTTAAGTTATTGCTTGACTAGTAAAAATATATGTAGTAAAACAAAATGTTCAAGAATTTATGTCTCCTATCCCTGGAAAACAATATGATCATTATAATTAACGTACTAATTCTTTATTTAAACAGATCCCTTAAAGAATCAATATAACTTGATTTTACAACATGCTACAAATGGAAATTTATACGAATACTTAAAAAGTGACTTCGAAATTAAATGGTCTGATAAACTACGATTTGCACATGAAATAGCTAAAGAGCTATCATTTTTACATGATAACAAAATTTTCATAGAGTATTTTCAATTAATTAATGTATATTAGACAACTTTTTTTCTCTTTTCCGTTAGCATTCAGAAAATATTTTAGTCAATCATAATAGAATGCTAATTGCAGATTTTGGAATGTCTAAATACATGAAAGAAATAGCAATGTTTAAATTTAGAAGATCATGAATATAAACGTGACAAGAGATCTGATATCTATAGTCTTGGAGTAATCTTTTGGGAGTTGCTAGTGGTAGGCTACCTTTCGATTACTTTTTAAATAGAGAAGCAATTATTATCCATATATACAATGGAAAGAGAGAAACCCCTGTAGAGAATACACCAGATGATTATGTTAAACTTTATCAACGTTGTTG